CTCCTCCTCCTCCTCCATCCATCATCATCATCATCATCCTCATCATCATCATCATCATCATCATCATCATCATCATCATCATCATCATCATCATCATCATCATCATCATCATCATCATCATCCATCTCATCTTCATCTTCATCTTCATCATCTTCATCCTCATCTTCATCTTCATCATCATCATCATCACCATCACCATCACCATCACCATCACCATCCTCTGCATCATCACAACCACCACCATCATCATCAGCATCATCATCGTCATCATAAAAATCATCATCATCTTCATCATCATCGTCATCATCATCATCACCATCACCAACATCATCATCACCATTATCAGCATCATCGCAATTATCAGACTCATCATCATCTTCATCAACAGCATCATGTTCATGTTCTTCATTATTAGCATCATCACATCATCAGAATCACAATCATCATAATCATCATCAGCATCGTCATCATCACCATCATCATCACCATCACCATCAGCAACATCATCGTCATATCATACTCGTCATCATCATCATCATCAACAACATCATCATCATCATATTATTCATCATCATCAGCATCATGGCATCATCAGCAGCATCATCATCACCATGACCATGCCCTCACCATCATAATCATGATCAGCATCATCGTCATCATCATCGTCAGCAGCAGCATCAGCATCAGCATCATCATCATCAGCACAGCACAATCATCATCATCAGCATCATCATTAGCATCGTCATCATCATCGTCGTCATCATCAGCATCATCACCATCATCAGCATCATCGTCATCAGCATTGATCATCGGCAGCATCACCAGCATCGTCAGCATGAGCACCATCAGCATTATCATCATCAGCAGCAGCAGTATCACCATCATCATCACCATCATCAGATCATCATCACCAGCATCGTCGTCATCGTCAGCATCGTCAGCATCTTCTCCATCATCAGCATCATCATCCATATCATCATCATCAGCATCATCATCAGCATAAGCATCCTCATCATAGCCATCACATCATCATCATCAACAGCAGCAGCATCATCACCATGACCATCACCATCACCATCAGAATCAGTATCGGCATCAGAACCCTCATCATCATCATCATCATCAGCAGCAACATCAGCATAATCATCATCATCAGCAGCGTCATCATCGTCGTCATCATCAGCGTCGCCATCATCATCAGCATCATCACCATCATCAGCATAATCGTCATCAGTATCGTCATCATCAGCAGCACCACTAGCATCATCAGCATCAGCACCATCAGCATTATCATCATCAGCAGCAGCATTATCACCATCATCATCACCATCATCACCATCATCATCATCATCAGCATCGTCATCAGCATCAGCATCATCAGCATCATCATTATCATAATCATAATCAGCATCATCAACATCAGCATCATCATCATCCTCCTCCTCATCCTCATCCTCATCCTCCTCCTCGTCCAGGCGATTTGCTCTCGGGCAGCTGCGGCCTCCCGTCTCCCGCGAAACCCCAGCCGTTCGCCCGTGTTCAGCGGGCGGCGATGCGCCTTCCTCTCGTCCTCACGAGCGGCCGCCGCATTCGACGTTTTCGCGCAGAGCTTCACGACGGAACCTGGCCGCCAACCCCTGGACATCTACGCTGACGGCATCACGCTGCAGGGATCCAAGCTGCAGCACATCGTCAAGATCTCGGTCCGCATCGTCCAGCCCCTGGCGGTGGTCCCACGCGGGATGGCGCTTCCCACTGCGGCGAAAAAGGCCGAGATCATGTAGGCCAACACTAACATCGCCAAGCAGGTGGTGAAGGAGGTGAAGCAGCACGGCTTCTGCGAATGCTCGGCCCTGAAGATCCTCGGTCTTGAGTCAAGTGGAGGAGAACAATGTCGACATTCATCGGCGCGCAAGCGCATGCACAAGATGAGGGCAAGCCTTGCACACTTCAAGCGCCTCACGGGCATGGCCAAGATAGGCAGGGCGATCCAGGTGGTGGCCGCAACGAAGTCAATCATCGGGTCCATGACTTCCTTGGTTAGAGTGGGCGGGTCAAAGACTCCTACCACCACCTCCACGCGGATGGCATCTCAGCTTGAACCACGTCGAGACCAGCATCCTGATGCATTCGCTATGGCGGAGCTGGGTCACCTCGGTTCATGACCCTGCGATGGACAATGCTATGATGGTGAAGGCTTTTTACCCAAGAACAGTCACTCTTCAGGACATCCAGTGGACGGGAGTTCACAACTGACAAGGTCGTGGTAGGCCTTGCAGGTATTGTGACACGCATATTAGATCGGTTACGATGGCGAGTACATACATACTCCTTTCGCAATCAAAGGGAGGGGGTCACAAGCCTCCCAGACGAGAAGTTTTAGACCCACCCCCGACCCACCCCCCAGACCATCCATGAAAGGGCGACCTTTTGCCCGACCCCCTCCGAACCCTCCAAGACAGCTCGAATCAGACCCCTCCAAATGTGACCCCCCCACTTTATTATGGAATCCGGAGTTCACTGTTTAATTGGACCACTGCCAATGGGGTCGACTTGATACTCACAGATACTTTATCTGAATGAGTAAAGACGCTGGCGAGACGTGCTTTTGAGAGTGTACGATGGGAGGACTGGGCAACGCGACTGGAGCACACACCAGAGTCCGAGGCCCCAAGGCGATCATCTTCTGGATATTGGCTGGCACCACTCCGTTTACTTCTCGCGCCGCGTGAGCAGAGTCGCCTTTGGCATCTCACCTTGCGGGCTCGGGCAGCTCTACGCAATACTACATAGGAGGGCAATGGTCTCAGGCTCGACTACACCAGCACGGATATGCCGACACTGCGGAATGTATGCTTTGCTAGGACTGCGCGGGTACATTGTACCACAGGCCATGGTGCTGCCCTGCGCTGGAGCAGGAATGTGCGATGGCAGTTGCAACTGAGACTGTGGAGGCAACACGACAAACCCCGACCAACGATATGCTGTACACACAAGGCCTCCCTTCACGGGACGCCCTACCACAGGTCCAACCACCATGTATGCATGAGACCTGGTCCTAAGCCTACGACGGCCAGCTGCAGCAGTTCCCTGGTGAGGTATACACCGACCGATCCGGGCGCACACTGATTCGGTGGTCTGAAGGATGCCGAGATGGATGGGGTCTGGCCGTGATGGAGGGGCGGCGATTCCATGGGATAGCTTATGAACCTCTACCTGGAGCACAGCAGTCAGTACTTCGAGCTGAGCTATTCGCGGTGCTCATGGCGATGAAGAATGGCACCCTTCCGATGCACATCCACACTGATTGCGTGATGGTCATCAATGGCATTCCCAACGGACGTGAATGGTGCCTCCACCCACGGCGCCAGAATCGTGACCTCTCGGAGCACCTGTGGGTGGCGATAGATGATCAAGGAGGACCAGGGGATCTCCTTACCTTCACGTGCGTCAAGGCCCACCAGACCGTCGAGGAGGGACTCCAGAGGCAGGGCAAGAGAGGCAACGACTGGGCGGACGTAGCCGCCAAGCGCGGCCTGGCAAAGCACGCACTCTCGCAGGACGCTCCGGGCGAACATGGCAGGCGCCTGGAACGCGCCCGCCAGGTTGCCCCATGGATCGGGAGCACACGGGAGATCTTGGACGCAAAGGGCATGGCGCCGACCCTAACGTGCCGATGGCGCGTCGCTCGCAGGACCAGCGTCGTGGAGCTCGACGCGCTGGCGCAGCTGCCGCTGCCGTCGGCGGCCGCGTCATGCCTGGGCGCCGCAACGCCCGCTGCCTCGCGGGCTGAGGCCCTCGCCTGGGGCCGACTGAGCAGGCCCACTCCCCAGCACAGCATAGAAATGGCTGGCGCTGCCTATTCTGTCCTCGCTTCGCGAGAAGCCGTCGCGGTCTAGCGCGGATGAAGGTTGAAGCTTGTAGAGCGCGGCGGCCCGATGGGATCGAGACCCCCTCTCAGCCGAGTGCGTGGGAGGCTGAGCCATCTGCGCCTGGGCTGCGAGGAAGTCCTTGCCCTAATGAGCGGCCGCCCCCCCTTGGGACTCCGCACGCCTCCAGAGGACCGCCTGAGAGGAACCAGGACGTGGACGAGAGAGGCTCCTGCAAGAGGCCCCGGGAGGACGCCCTGGGGGAATCTGAGGACCCCCCGTGGCCCAGGGAGCTCGGGCCCAGGGTTGCGGAGTTCATCCCTCCTCCTCGTCCTCCTTTGCCTTTGGAGCCTCCTGCCGCTGCTGCTGATGCTTCCCCTCTGCCTCCTCTCGCTCCTACCCCGTCGTCCTCCTCCGTTCCTGGCCCCAGGTCCCAGGCCAGGTCTCTGGATGACGCTGCGGAACCAAGTAAAAGACGAGCGAAGCCTCGGGTGAGGTTCGAGGGCAGACCCCAAGGGGTCGTGAGGGAGGCCGCGACGGCCCTCGCTGCTGAATCGGGGAAGCGCACCAGGCTCGAGGCCCCGAGTCGGGCCTCGGGCAGCGCTCCCAGCAAGGTGCTGCCCCCCGCGGGTCCCGTGCCGCCCCAAGCCGCCGGGGGGCACATCCTGTACAGACCTGCTCACGGTGTGGGCCTTTCTCGGAGCGAGCCGCTCGCTCCCAGCTCTCTGCGGAGTGTGGCCCCACGCGGATGCTCGGCAATCTCCAGCGCAAATGGCGCAGAGATCATTTCGCCCCGGGCCGTCACCCCAGGTCTGCCGCAGGCCCGCTCATGCGCATGTGTGGCCTCCGTAATATGTTCGAGAGCGCTCGCTTGTCTTTTCCACCGCTGCCGCTGCCCTGGTTCATCCGTCAATCGACGCGTCGTCCTATGTGGTCGCTACTCCTCCTCGTCCTCGTCCTCGTCCTCGTCCTCGTCCTCCTCCTCCTCGTCCTCCTCCTCCTCCTCCTCGTCCTCCCTCCCTCCTCCCTCCTCCTCCTCCTCCTCCTCCTCCTCCTCCTCCTCCTCCTCCTCCTCCTCCCCGTGCAACCTTCCTCCATCTTCCGTCGGGATGGCCAGGCGGCGACGGGCGCCTGCACTCCCAATTCGCTCTCGAAGGCGCGCAGCGGCGAGTCGGCGTAGTTGGCCCAGTCGCCCCACGCGGAGCCTGCGCCATCCCACACGACCACTGCACAGTGTAACCAAGAAGGGAAGGGAGAGGAAGACGACGAGGGCGACACGAAGAGGGACGAAGACGTGGTTTAGGAAAAGCGGGAAAAAGAGGAGGATGACGCTGATGATGACGGGGTGAACTCAACGCGGGGAGCAGCACAAGAACGAGGATACTCTCTCGCAGCAAACGCCAATCACTCACGTCTTGAACGGGGCCTCCAAGCCTGACCGCTTCGCCCCTCTTGTGAATCGTCTCTGCTGGACGTCCATGTGACGGAACTTCAGGTCAGAGCACCATCCAAAAACTTCGAGAGCACCTGGAACGAGTGGACTCCAATTTGAGGCTGCCCGTCAATGTGTGTCGGTTCGAAGTGTCATTGCGCGGTTTGTTGCCACGGCTTCCGATCGATGCAGCACCACCTGCGGTTCGCCTGTGAACTCTGATATGTCCGATGTGGCAATCTCACAACCTCGAAACTCAAGCTTCCAACGGCACTTACGGGGAAGGTACCAGGCTGTCTGACACCCACACACGGACACCACACACACACACACACACATACACGCCACACACGCCACACACGCCACACACGCCACACACGCCACACACGCCACACACGCCACACACGCCACACACGCCACACACGCCACACACGCCACACACACACACACTTTTCGGTCGTCGCGGGCTGGGCCTGGCCGCCGGCCGCTTGTCCGTCCCGCAGGCGCGCGAATGCGCCGGCGAAGAAGGCAAGGAATTTGTTGGGCACTCACGGGGCACTAGCGGGGCAAGGGAACCAGAAGCCACGGCAAGGGGGCGCCGCCGCCGGGGGGGAGGGCGTAGCGAGGCTGGGGACGACGAGGGCCGCAGCGGCCGCAACGCCGCCCGCGGCGGCCACCGCGAGCGACGAGGCAGCGGCGGCCGCGAGCGCGAGCGCGGGCGGCCGGCAGCGCCGGCCCGCGCACGGCGGCTGAGGCAGCGGCGGCCGCGGCGCGGGCGGCTGCCGTAGGGCGCGAGCCCAGGGGCCGCAGGCCCCCTTCGCTCACCGCCGCCGCCAGCGAAGGGCCGGCAACAGCGGGGACGGCAGCGACGGCAACCAGGGCAGGGGCCGCCGGCGGCCGGGCCGGCCGCGGCGACGCCACCGAGCCGCCGCCAGCCGCCGGCGGCGGGCAGGCAGCAGCAATGGCCCCCCAGGGCACGCCGCCGCCGGCCGCCCGCCCAGGGCGCCACGGCCGCCAAGCCCGGCGGCCCGGCGCGAGCGGCGGCAGCCAGACGCTGGCACCGCCGAAGGGCAGAACAGTGAGGGCACCGGCGGCGGCGCCGGCCGCAGCGGGGGCGCTGGCTGGCGGCAGGAAGTCCGCCGGGCCGGCGTCTGGCGGCGGCGTGCCAGGGGGCGCCGCGGCACCGCCAGCGCCAGCGGCACGGGCGGCAGCTGGTGCCGCAGCCGCGCCAGTGGCCTCCATCCCACGGGCCAGAGCGCGCACCTGAGCCAGGGGGGGACTTGAGCCAGAGGCTACGGTCAAAACACACACACACACACACACACACGTTTTGGCGTCGCGGCCCTGCGCGCAAGGACATGGCGTAGCAAGGTCCAAAGGCGGGCGCGCGCGCATCTGAAGGCCGAGCCCGCAAGGCGCTTGGAACAAGCAGCGCCGCACACACTCACACACACACACACACACACACAATCACACACACACACACACACTCTCTCTCTCACACACACACACACACACTCTCTCACACACACACACACACACTCCGTGCCTCCAGAACGCCATCCCCCTGCAGCCCGCGAGCGGCCCCGACCCAAAGGCCAGAGACATTCGCGATAGCTGGAGCTCAAAAACCCTCCAGAGGTCCACCAAAGGCGCCCAAGACCATCTCGATCCTCGATCCTCCCTCCTCTTCGATCGTCGACTTCTGGGACAAGCTGGCGAGACACACGGTGTTGACCTGAGCCTGGGGTGGCGCGACGAGGTAACCGAAGGAAAGCGGCGCGGCGCGGATTGCCGCTGCCTCTCACAGCTGACCTCCCTCTCCCTCCCTCCCTCCCTCCCTGCGGGTCCTGGAGGAGGGGGGTTCTGGATGCTGCTCGCCGGCTTCGGGCCCGTGGAACCCTCCACGGGCCTCGGGGCCAGCAAAAACGATTCAAGATGGCGAGTTGCTGAAGCGTGGGGCCCGCGGGCTGAGAAGGTCGCCTCATCCCGCTGCTGCGGGTCGATGTACGCAGCTACGAATGGTTTCCCAAACCGGCAGAGCACATGCACCACACGTTCTCACGACACTGCAGGAGCCTGGGACAGATGCCAGACCAGCGGGACCTGCCGAGGCCGCTGGACCTTGTATGCATCATAAAGACCAGAAAGCCAAGGACAATGCGGAACACTGGTGTCTAGGGCCTGCCTCCCTCAGGACCCGTCACCCGCATGGCGAATCTCTCCCCTCGGGCGTTGGCAGAAAACTGGGTTTAGTGGAACCTGGTTTAACAATGTGTACTGGGGGACGCGCTTCCCGCCCCGTTACACTGACCAGAACTGCCGTCACACGAAAAGACACAAGCTACGGCAGACCTGGTTTAATGATTCTGGCCAAATTAAGGGTTCCGGGGACCTGATACTAACGGGGTCCCCATACTTGGGGTCCTGGCTATACCCGATCCCTCCCTGCTTGGAACGACAGGCTGCCGGCTGGCAAGCGAGATGCTGGCTGGCACACCATATCATCAACGAGCACCTAAGGTGGAAACTTGTTGTCGGAGGCCAGCGGGGACGTTCCGGGGCGGGTTGGCTCCGGCGGGGCACGTCAACGAGGACTGCTCCCGGCATGCGGAACTGAAGACCGCTTCGTTTGCCTCAGCCGTGGTCGGGACTTTGTCGGCGGTTCGCCAGCTGAGATAACAACCGCCAGCGATTGGACACCTGAGTCCATAACGATGGCCTCAGCCTCGAACGATGTTCACCACATGCGGCGCCTTGTGTGCGGCACCCATGCAGTTTCTCGCGCGGACCCCTGGGGCCTGATGCCGCTCCTGCTGCTGGGTGCATAGATGACTCAACTGAAAATTGGACAATGTGTCAAAGCCGCTCTTTCCCCCTGCTGACCATCCTTCCCTCCCCCTCCTCGTCTTCCTCTCCCCCAGCGCTGCCCGCACCCCCTGACCCGCGCCAGAGCCTGTGAGGCCGTCCTGGTAGAACATGCCGATGATGGCCATCATGGCCAGGCGCCCGTTCGCCAGCTCGGAATTCAGTTTCCTGCCGGTCGCACGCAAACAAAGAGGGAACTGAGACGAGGACCAGCAGCAAAAGGACGACGAGAAAAAATGTGTGTTTGTTGGTCCACAAACGGTAAAACAAGACGCCGAACATGGCGCGGGCGAGCATGCCCACGGGCGGGCCTCCCGCAAGTGGGCAGCATGGGAATGGCAAGACAGCTCCCCCGACCCGTTTTGCCGGCCGGAAGCACCCGACCACCGACAGAACGGGCAGGGGCCAGGCAACACCAAACCCCCGCCACCCACCCCAGGGGCCCGCCACGACACGACTGACGCGACAGCGACGGCGACGACACGACGGGGGGAAGGGGACCCCCTGGCACACGACTCCCACGGGGGACACCTGCCTGGGAGGCCAGGCTCCCGTGTGAGACTGCGTGGCCGGGGGCCCCCTGGGAAGGGGACCCCGCTTCGGGGGCCATCCTAGGTGCGGGGGCTTGCGCCCCGAAGGCCCAGCGGCCCCCGCCTCCACCAGGGGACACTTTTGCCCGACACCCCACTTATGGGGGTGCCCCTCCGGGGGGACGATGAGTAACATTGGGAAGAGACTGGGGAGGAGGACAACGGCAAGGACGAGAAGGACGACGAGGGGGTTGGATTGGACCACGGTGGACGACGCGATGGTGCGATGGCGGCGATTATCGGGCCGTCAATTGCACCGTTTTGGCTGGACTCTCTGGGCCATGAGGCGGAACAAGAGGACGAAAGGACGACGAAGACGAGGAGGACGAGGAGGACGACGAGGACGATGAGGAGCCCGAGAAGGGCGAAGGACAGGAGGAGGAGGAGGAGGAGGAAGCGGAGAAGGAGAGGGAAGAGGGAGACGAGGACGAGGAGGACCAAGAGGACGACGAGGAGGACGAAGAGGAGGAGAACTAGAGCGCAAGAGGAATCCCACCAGCCCCTTTAGGGCGAGGGTGGTCTACGGTGTGTTGTCTTCCATTTGCCCCTCTTCCCCTTCGGGGAGATGTTTATCACTGTTCCCTATTAATAAACACCCCCTCCCCCAGGCGACTGGAGGCCATCCCAGGTCCATGACGACACCCCCCCCCACACAATCCCTTGTAAAAAACAATCTATATATATCATATTTTTTTACCCAAACAAAAAAAACAAAAAAAAAAAAATGCCTCCAAATTCGGAACACGCGCAGCCAACCCGATGCGCCCCCCCCCCCCCCACAATCCCTGTCAAACAACCATACAGTACAGCGGCGGCGGTGGCGGCGGCGGCGGTGGCGGTAGCGGCAGCGGCTGCGGCGGCGGCGCGGCGGCGGCGGAGGCGGCGGCGGCGGCGGCGGAGGCGGCGGTGGCGGCGGCGGATTGGCCCCCAGTAGCTCCCCATCCAAAGACGACTGCTGAAAATGCTGATGCTCGGGCCAGACTCGGGTGCTACGTATGTGTTGGGAGGGCGGGTGGGAGTGAGCGAGACGGCTTGCGGGCGGGGGGGGGTCTTGATCCCTCCCCGTACCCCCTCCCCTGGACCTGGACGGGGCCGGTCGCGAGGTGTCAGGGCGGTCTAAAAGGCCCTTGCAAGGAAGCCGAATTCATGGGCTTTATGAAAATGTTTGGGCCCATTTGGGCCTCTGGAGGGGCCGACCCTCATTCAACTCCCTTTTTGTTCGATCGATGCCCTCCCAAATGGAAACAAGAGCGCCCCCAAGGCCCCCAAGGGCGCTTGAAAAGGGCCCCAAGAGGCGACCGGGAGGCCGCAGGAGGCTTCAAGAGACGCCCAGGAGGCCTGCGGCTCGGTAGCACATAGACGCGGGCTCGAGAACCAGCCCGAACATACGGCGCCGGCGACAGCGGCAATAATCCAGCTCTGCCCTTCCCGCCCCAGATCTCGAAAAGGGAAACGCACGCGGACGAGGGCGTCGGCCCCGGGGCGGGAGAAGACTCGCACCGACACAAGGTGTTTGCAACCCCTCTGGGGCGGCGGCCGCCTCGCGGTCCTCCTCCCCGAGGACGCCGCCCACAGAGGCCGTTGACGAGCGCAGCCCCTTCATGGAGATTTCGGGGTACTTCGCGTTCTGGGCGGCGCAGCCACGCGGAGTCTTGGCCTTGACCGCGATGTGGAATGCAATATACGCTGATTTGTCCAACCTCGCAGCCTCGGCGCCCCAACGCAGGCCCGTCGCCTTGCGACGACGAGCCCACGCGCCGCTGACGTTGATCGCCGTAAAGTAGAAACCAGCGAACCCAAGCCGAGCGCAACTCGCCCTCGCCTGCACGAGTAAGTCAGCAGGCTGCCGCGCCCACCTGGGAACGCGGACCAAACCACGGCACCCAGCCTGGGGAATGTCGAACTTCTGGCCGAGCGCATTGGCGAGATGCGGGTCGCCGACGCGCGCGACCGTCGGGCCGCGTTGGCGGGCGGCGCCGCGGGCGCAAACGCCGGGCTGGCCGTCGGGCAGGGCGTCGAACTGGCCGTCGGACTAGGCGTCGCAAGCGCGGTCGGGCTCGGCGTCGGGCCGGGCGCGAGCTGGACGCACTCCCCCGACGCGCCCAGTGGGCAGCTCGTTCCAGCTGACACAGCGCGTCGCCCAATGCCGGCCATGCCCGTCTGCGCAGTAGCGCCCGCAGTCAGGGGCAGCAACGTCGCCGACGCTGCCGACCATCTCGCGCCAGCCGCGCGACTCGAACTCGCAATGAACGGTGCGCTGCGGGCTGCTGCGCGCCTGCCCTTCCCAGTCGAAGCTGGGCTTCGGGACCCAGCCTTCTCTGGAGGGTGGATAGCCGTTGGTTATGGCGTACCTGGCGCACTCTGCAATAGTTCCGGTTGTCACAGAGAGCAAGCACATTTCGTGGTTCCGAAAACCCCCCGTACACCCACGCTGCACATGGAGTTTCATAGCAGCTCACCTCTGCGAATGGGGTCGTCGACGAGGCCGCCTCCGAAATGCCCGACCCACTCACAGATGCCTGAATGAGCTGCATGTCAGCGCCCACAGTGGAAGTGAGCGCAAACTCCGTTACAAAGATGAGTTCGCGCACCATCGCGGCGCCGAAGATGCCTCGGCAACATGTTTCGCCGCATCCGCTCGCGCGTTCGCGTCGCGGACATCCCTCCCGCGGAGAGCAGGGCGGGCGACGCGCCCCGCGACCGCGCGCTCGGCACCCTCGGTCACCTGCGGCGCGCCGCCGCCCCACCACGCATTGGGAATCTCCAAAAAATTGCGCGCCCAACGGATATGCTGGAGATGCTTGCCGAGCGCGGGCCCATGGGGCGCAAAAATGCACGCGCTCGCGCGTCGTCAACTGCAACAGGAAAGTGCGCCATGTGAAAGCATTCGGAGAAAGAAATTTCCATGAACCTTCGATCGTTTCTAACGCCTAGCGGCGCGAGTTCCTATGTAAAAGCAATTCCTGGATTCCAGACGCCTGCGCGCCAGCACGGGCCCTCTGCAACGCGGCAAGTCTCTGGCGCGGGGCGCCCGCACTCGGGCACACCACAGAAAAAGCGCTCGGCGAAGTCGGCCTCCTCAGCAAATTGCACCTAGAGGCTTCGTCAAAATAATCAAGAAAAGACTGTGCCACCTCAAAGGCTGTGGAACGTCTCGAGACAACTCAAATCCGCGGTTGGCCACCCTTCGGCTTTTGCCGCAACGTCGAAACAAGTGCGCCCTCGCGAAGCGTCGCGCGCTCGTTTGCTGAACCTCCGGGCGGCTGGCGCCTAAAAAAATGGGTTGCCTGATGCTGGGCCAGCGATGGCCGACGCCAGCGCCCCCTGCGGGGGCGCCCGCGCCCCCCTCGGGCCGCGGCTCTGCCGCGGCAGCCGGCGCGCCGGCACCGCTGAGCCTCGTTGAAGCGCCTCGGGGGAGGCCGCGCGGCGCAGCCCGGCCGGGCGCATCGGCCGCGCCCGCCCAGCCATGGCCCGGGGCCCTGGAGGCGCCGAGAGCCTGCTCGAACCATGCCGCGCGGCGTAAGGGGAAAATTCATTTGCGCCACGCCATCCATGACTCACGGCAGCGATCTTCGGTCAAAATGAGGCCCCCCAGGAGCAACCATACCTTTAGCGAGGCACGCCCCAGCACATTGACGAAGAAAGCCCCGGCGCATTGCATGTGCCTGCGTACACCAGACCCACAGAAAACACCCTGCCGCCACGTGAATTCCGTTCTCCCCAGCGTGGCAGCGCGAATCTCCACGGTAATAAGCCTGTCAAGGTCCTTCCCGCGCACGCACACGCACATGCACACGCACATGCACACACGCACACACTCACGCGCACACGCGCGCGCGAAACGCCCGCGAGACGCGCGCCAACACGCGCGCGCGCGAGACAAGCAGAACACGCGACGACCACCAAGTCGCGCACTGCGAGCGATCCGACATCGAGGAACGGAAGGAGCAAGGACGGGGGGGGGGGCAGGAGGGGGGGGGGGGGGGGGGGGGGGGCAGAAAGCGAGGGGGGAGCAGAAGCGAGGAAGCAGGGAGAGGGGAGGGGGAAGGGGAGGGGGGCGCGACGAGGGGGCACAGAGGGAACAAGAACGAAGAAACAAAGGGAAGGACATGTTCTCCCTGTTTCCGCCCGGCCGGCGCCGCGCCACGCCTGCCCCTAGTCTCGGCCACTCGATGGCTCGACGTCTGTTGGCCACCCAGCGCCCGGCGCGACCGCGGCCCAGGCAGTCCGCGGGGCTGGCTGCCGAAGGAACGCTCGCGAACTCGACAACAGCATGCGCCCTCGGCGCAGCCAGCCAGCACGATCCCTCGATCGAGTTTAAATCTGGGAGGCGAGAGACCATCCTGATATCATCATGTTCATTGCTGACGTAGCGTCTATAAAACACAAAGTCCGTTCTCCGGTAAAATCTTCGGACCTCGTGCTCCAGGCGCCAGTCATGGCCAACAACTCGTATGCATGGATGCGTGTGTTTTCTGTTTCTTATGGGTGCGTCTCCACCCGTGCGGGGCCGTGCCCGCGGCACACTCACGCCGCTCGTC